CAACACCCCCCCACCCCCCCCCCCCGCCATTGGAACTTCATCCCTTTCGTACTTTAACCCCTCTTCTCCTCCTCTTATGCCAATCACCAAAACTATACGGAAACTGTTACGGGCTCTGCGCGGTTATGGTGGTTGTCGATTCTTCTTTCTGACTATACGACGGGTTTAATTTCGTTGAGTGCATTCAACGGCTGATCCGAGGGCGTACGTAGAACGTTACTGTGTTGCGTGTAGGCGGCATAGAGCCGTAGCGACGGAGGGACCTCGGTACGCCCGCGCACTGATTCACCTAGAGTTACAATAAAAATATGTCTCTCTTCTCGTGCGACTATCCCACTCGCCATAGAGTGGAATGTATTTCTGTCTTCCTCGGTTATTTTATCTCGCTCTTTATATACTCTATGCCTGTGTGCATGTATATATAATATGTACGTACTATCTACACCACTGGATAGTAACTTCCTACTCTTCGGGGTTGGACCGGACGTGAACCCCGTGGCCGCCATTATTGACCATCGCTCTTGATTAGCGATACCCTCTCATGGACTATCCTCCTGTCATGGGATCGTTCTGTATGGTATTACCTAAAATCTGGCAGAGAAAGCTTCCCGGAGTTATCATGAAGACGCATAGAGGAATACTGGATATAATAGTCGTTGGATTTTACGAAGGGGATTTAAGTTTTCGTTAAAGAATTTTTTAAAAATATTTTTTATAAGATGGATAATTTCATTTTGAGATTTGAATTTTGTTTGTTAGTTAAACTTTTTTGAGATACTGGTTTATCAATGATTTTTGACCATTTTTAGTATAATGTATAGTATAGTATATAGTATAGTAAGTATGTTATCACGTGGCTTAATGTGGGTAATGTAGGAACTGGTTGGATTGGAAAAAAAATTTATTTTTGAATATTCTTTTTTTAAATAATTTCGGTTAAATCGCATGGGAATTTTCTAATTTAACAGGTTCATTCAAATTGAATGATCCCGTATACGTATTTATTTTGATCGCGTAAATTTATTAACTATTATAATAAAAAGTATCTTTCGGATTCGTAGAACATCTTATGGCTGTTTTCTATGGTGTCGTTTACGTGTACATGAATACAAGCCGCGACTGCGCGCGGCTGCAATCATCCCTCGAAACTCTGGTAGGGCGAGTTCTCCTCCAACAGAGTGAGCCAGTACGTTCCACACCCACCTCCGCCAATCTCTACCACCTCCGATAACCTCGAACCTCGTACCTCCAGGAGGTCCGGGCTTGATCCGTGAATCCGCGTACTACCCGGCCATAGTTCCTCGGCATCCGCTAATCGAATCACACCTCGCGAATAACCGTGGCGAAGAGTTCGCGATCTCCTTGCCGTTCTAACCTCCAAACGATAACCGGACGATCGTTCTATAAAAAAAATCTAAATCGAACAAAAAAATATAGCGAGGACAATTAAAAAAAATAATTTACCAAAAACAATATTAATCGTCGATGAAACGAACGCGTAAATTTTTTGAAAATATAAAAAATTCATTCAATATGATTCCCGGAGAACGACTCGGAATTTACAGAGTTATACGCATATAAGATATATCGAGAGAGACTCGGATTCTCGTGAAGAGATAAACTAATGGCTTTGTGTGTGATTTAATGTACATCTAAGATGATCCGGTGCGCGTTTTGAGGATCTCTCGTGTAGTGCGAGACAAAATCTTCGGGGACTCGGAGGCTCCCGGAATTCGTACAAAGAAAAAAAAAAGCTACGAATCGGTCGGGTTTTTCGTACAAGCGCTAAACGAAGGATCGGTTTGCCGATTTACATTAGCGCGCGTGCAAAAAGGGATCATCGGTGAACTAAAGGGAAAGGAAAGATCGTTCGACGCGGTTGGAAAAATAAAGCGGGAGAGAGAGAGAGAGAGATACTCAAAGACGCCTTGCTATCATTGTATTTATACCGTATATAAATATATCAATATATAGAAAAAGAATATTCTCATGATTTCTTTACAAAGTGGTGGTGGATCACTGAAGAAGGAACTTTGCCCTGTTTTCGCGTGAATTCGATCGTCTCGATCGCGAGTCGCATAGCCAAGGTTATGGTCGTGATAAAGCGGCCCCTGTACCGATAAGACCGACTCGATTTTACCTCCTCCCTCCTAACCCCCCTTTCGTCCAACACTCATCACCACTCCTCACTCCTCCTCCTCGCTGCCTATCTGTCCCACACTGGCAACCTCTACTACTACCACTGCCGTTGCCGTTGCTGCTGCTACTACTACTACTGCCGTTACGCTCGCAAGCGCGCCAACTTCAGGAGAGGAGTGTGCGGCTGGCTTTGGGCCCGCACGGACGTGTTACTCAGAATCGAGGCAAAGCTCCCAAAAGTGGCTGCACTCAATATAAAGGAAGCATCAACCTGTACGTCGAGAGCACGAGAGGAGAGTACAGTAACGGCGCGTCAGGAGGAAAAACAGTGTAGCTTGGTGTTAAGGGCCAAAAGCTAAAAGTACGTAGGGCAGATCCTGTGAAGGGATTTCGAAGAAAAAGAAAAAAGAAAAAGAAAAGTAAAAAGGAGGAAACGAGAAAGTTGGAGGACACCGTAGAGAGACGAGAGAGAGATAAGGAAAAGAAAAAAGAAAAGTCCAGAGACGAACCGATATAAAGAAGATCGAACGAGTGGGCCCTGAGAAAATAATGAGCAGAGGCTCAGAGATTGGGCCAGTCATATCGAATGGAACCGTGCAAGTGTAAATAGAAAAGTGTGCGATGTCTTCGACAGGAAGGGACCGCATTCAGCACGTCGATCGGGCCGTTTGGGCCTTGGCACCGTGCACCTCAGCTCAGAGTAATCCGCCGCCACCCCACGAACACTTGGTCCCCGTAGGACCCATCGCAGTCCCGTTCTCTCTCGCTTTAAAAACTTCTTGCTACTTTACACCAATTGCCAATTCCCATTGAGAAAAGTATTTTCTCTTTCTCTCTCTCTCTCGTCCTCCCTTTTACCCTCTCTCTGTCTCTCTCAGTCTCGTTCACTCTCTCACGTGCGCAAGGATGTACCGGTCTACCATGCTACCACGACTCTTGTACTCGTCATCTTCGGTGTCCTCCTGAGATGTTCCATTTACATGCGACCACCCGTTATATGGATTCTACTGGTTTACATAGAAAAAATCGGCCTGAATCAAGACTCATTGGTTGCGTCGCTTTTACAGCTAGAAGCGACGTTAACGTTTATTGAAGAAAGAAAAAAGAAGGGTTTCGTCAATACATGAAAACCTGGATCAAGGACATCCTTCGTTGTTCATTGTATAAACGGAGAATAAAAATCGAGTAAACTTCTCGGGGACTTGTCGCGACATTGTGTGTTCCCGACGGGACTTTGAAGTCGTAGACGTCATCGTCGCGGACTGTCGTATTACAGAACATCGCGTGGCTCCAAAATTCCCATTCGTAATACGTGGTGGAATTCGCGCAGGATCCTGTGAAATATAATTTATAATTAAGTAGTTGACATACGTGGGTACGTAGATCAGTGAGAGTGCGCGAGTGCTGAGGAATAATAATAAATAAATAAATAACATTAATAATAATAATAAAGGGAGAGAAGATAATAATAGAGGTGACGAAGAGAGGGAAAGTTGAAAGTAAAAGGGAAGCGAGGGAGGCGGAAGTCAAAGAAGAAGTAAAAACTGATCTTAGACTGGAGCTGTACCTGCCTTACGCACCGCTGCCGGGAGGTGGCGGTATCCTCCCGGCAGTGACGAACTGTCGTCCTGTCTTACTCGGGGGTGTGGACCTGTCGATGTCCGCCGCCGTCCAACCACCCTCGAATGGGCCTCAGAGCCACAACATACTTCATCCACCGGGAAGTGGCGGTGGTACCGGTGGCGGATTGCCATTGCCTCCTCTTGGCGCTGGACCCGTGATGATGCCAAGACCACCACCGGGACCTATGCCACCCCTGGGAGAATCCTTAGCCCCGGGACACCACGACTCTGCAGATCTCACCGACGCACCACCCAATCCTGACGTTCTACTTGCTCTTCTTGCTCGCAATAAGAACCTGGAAGGTAAGTCAATGATCTGATCAGGATGCACGTTCGGCTAAGATGTCGATTTGTCGAGGAACGAGTAAAAATATATATTAGGAATATAAAAAATAAGTAAAAAAATTTGTAAAGAAAAATATGTAAGTCACTCTCAGAAATTATCATCGGGTGTCGCTCCCATCCACTGTAGTGTCGCGCCACGACATGGCTGTGGAGATTCTTTGATAAGCTCGATATATATCTAAGAAATTGATTAGATTGTGTTACGCGTGGGAAGAGAGGACAGAGTCATTGCTGATAGCAGCTTTCGTTGAATCGGACTCGACGCAGACCTCATCAGCTTCGACATCACGAGCTACGATAACGCTTGACGAAGATCTTCGTGATGCTCTGAGGGATGCTTCGTTAATTAGAGACCAGAGAGAAGCAGAGCACGTCTGGTTCTTTTAGTTGTATGAAAAAGACGAGCGGGCAGCTCCTGGAATTTCGATCCTTATATAGTAACCATTGGGCCCCGTCGGATCGCTTGACTATACTTACCCATTGAAATAAGAATCAATAATATTAATGCTCAGCGACGGCATTAACATCTAAGAGGAATTAATCAAATCCTTATAGTGAAAAAAGAAATATGGTTGTACAATAGCAGACTCACGTGGATTGCTGACAGCGCCAAGTAGCATAATCAATGTATTCCAATAATTGTCATTTTTGGATAAGAAACGATTGGTCAAACTATTCCTTGATCGAGTATCAATAAAAATCTTATCGATTTAATTTCTTTATCTTGAACTACGCAATATCGAGAATTTCGTATTATTCAATTTTTCTTCTGTTTGATTTACACATTTCTTTAAACTACTCACATTTTGCTTATCGCTCCGCGTTATTCATCTTGAAATCGTATCACTGTGTGTTGTGGAAAAAAATAAAAGTAATTCAGCCAGAACACTTTCACGCGTCATTAAACCGTACGGACACACAACACGCTACCACGAATTCGCCACAGTTCAGACAAGACGCACCAACGAATTTGCATGCAACAGATTGCAACTCGTAGAAGCTCGGCCACTCTTATTCACAGCTTCTGAGTTATTCATCGAGCCAATCTCGGTGAGTGGAGCAAGGTCGATGGCTGGAAGCTTTAATTATGCACAGCATGCAGGAGACGTTAACCAAGTTAGCGATCGTTTTCCGTATTAGCGTTTAAAAGCATTTAGCCTAGTCAATGATGGGACCAAAAAAATATAATAATCAATAAATCTTCACGTGAAACGATCTGTTTATTATGAAATCATAAATCGTATAAATAAATAACAAGAAATAATCAAGGGAGAAAAATCTTCTTTGCTCGAAGAGTAGTCTCACGTGACTGACTCACGTAGTGACTCGCAGTGCCATCTACCGTCTAATTAAGTAAAAACGTTAGACGGAGCTCCGTATCGAGTAGGAGCTTTAAACGTTTTCTGGTGGCAGAACCTCACTTTACCTAGAGAAAGGTTTTTGTTAAAAGGTCCGCCTCATCGGACCATCGGCCCATTGGGGTTCGCGGGGGTGGGTGCTGGATATTTTAATAAGGTAAGTGCTACAAGGCCGGCTGCCTGCCTTCCTGGCTGCCTGACTGCTTGACTGCCAGGCTGCTCGACTGGTTTAATCATGTAATGTGTTTGGAGGCCTGACCACCCCGCAATCAATACGATATTGCTTCGGGTGCGATAGCTCAGAATCGCTTAGAATTCTCTGGTTAAAACTGAACTCTTATGATGGCTTCCCTTGGATACAATACCTTGATACTCGGTTAACCTTAACCTACGATATGTCACTTCGTGATGGTAAAACAGAGAAATTTCGACTGGAACTCATTCATATCGACTTTATCCTGTGATTGACTGTATGGATTGTAAGAAAACAAGTCATGAAAATATCTGTTTGACGGCATTGTTCTTGCTATACCCACTTGCTTGTAAGTACTGTAATTTCAATGGAACACTCGATCCGTGTCCGTGAAAAGTATCGACTATATAACTGAGTGTGAAATTTCCCGGGAAGCCGATTCGAATTCAGCCTCCTATCGCGGTAATTGTAAGCGCGATGAATTTACGGGGTATAAGTTACGGGCGTTGATAGTAACTTTACGGTCTGGACCCAAGAAATATGTCGTATTTCATCGAGGCGACCGATAAAGTAGCAATAAGCCGTTGCCCAGTTGTGAAATGACGTGTCAAGCTTAAATCGCGTCGCTGGATATTCTATGCGGAGAGATATTTTTTCTTATTATTTTGTTATTAACGTGGAACTGGAGTCGTTTTATTTTTTTCTTTACTTCTCAGTATAGATTGTTAGAAATAGGGGGTTAGCTACGTTTATGCATAAACAAAGGAGAATGTTCTTTGAATACGAAAGATTCTGTTGTTTCTTTTTTTTTTGTTCTTTTCGTTTTACCAAAGAAAACTGGTCTTTGTCCAAAACAACATGAAATGGATTTTGTTTCTTGACTTTCTGATTGAGGAATGCTTCCTCGTTGAAACCGTTAAGGGATGAATGCGTGGACGATGTTTTTTTTTAGCGAGGAAAATAATTTCGATGAAGAAAGGAAGGAGAAAGTTTAAGGAAAAGAGGTAAAAAAACAAGAAGATAAGTAACATCGAAAAGAATAAAATTTCTGAAACTTTACGACTATTGGAATGGAAAAGATTCGAATAAAAAGAAATACTGCCGTCTAAATGAAAATAACAAGCAGCATAAAATGAAAATCGAAAAGTAGTATTTTTTTGGTTGAAATATTACAAAATTACGTGATAAAAATATCATTCCTAATTTACTCTCCTTTTGGCAAGATGGTTGAATCGTGTCTGCTTTTTTGTTAAAATAAAAAGAAAATGTCGCCACTCCCTCCACGGATCGATGCACGCAAGAATCTCCAGGATTCGACGTAGTATAGAACGTCAACCCCTCGACGTTGGTAACCATAGAAAACCCAGAGTCTATGGCGAAGAGGGTTTGAAGGGAAAATGGCGCTCGGTTAACCGACCTGAGAGGCCTGGGGGGAGGGCGGGGG